GAACATTTAATCTTGTGAACTTAGGGTTTGAGTATTTAGAAATTATAAGCTTGAGGCAGTAAGCTTTTAACTAGAAAAATGAGATCTTCAAATGTATTTGAATGTTGATTTGAAGATCAAAGTCATTTATACATATTAACGCTTTATATTTTCCTTATTTTTTAGAGCCGATGTTAAAATAATACATTCCGATTCAAGAAATAACTCTTATTTCAGTGACCTTAAAAATAATCTAAAGAATAGAATTTATAAGGTCATTGTCACATTTCAAATTGATCTTTCGTATAAATGTAGTTTTAAAACGTTGATATTATCAGAAAACTCAGATGAACAGCTACCGCACGTTTTTTGAGCATTGTCTTATAATCGACTTTGTCAAGGTCAGAAAAAAACTCCAATATATTATTTTGGACGTAAACTTTTCCACTCTTTCCATATCCGATGTAGAAAGTGTAGCTTCTTATTAAAAAAACAATTGACCTTGAGAAAACCTTAAAGGTTGAGCTCAAGGTAATTTTTAAGATCATCATCAGATGTCTACCTTTAAACCTAACAGCCTTATTTTCTAGAAAAGTCAAATCTAGAATTTATTCTCGTGGACTGAATAAAATAAAATACCCTGTGTCAGATACTTTTGAAATCTAATTTTAACGTTTATTATTGAATGAACTATACAGAGTGTCCAAACAATACCCAAACAATTGTCCAGACAAAGTGATTTTTCAAAATGGCAAGGTCATTCTTGAATTAACTTATTTGTGAAGAATTCATTGGTGACCTTAAATATATCCTTGAGCATGACCCAAAGGTTCTTTCAAGGTTAGCTTTGTCCTTTCAAATGGAACCCTATTTTTGACAACGGTATTCGAAAGAGCGGGAAATTTTACGTCCAGAAATGTGTTCGGATCATAAGTCATCGATAAACCAATAACTCGATAACCTAATAACTTTGACCCTCTATCGGTTGAGTATAGTCTTGTATAGTTCAGACCTTTGCTGGAAATAATGAAGTTGACCTGAGTACATTTTTGAACGTAAAATTTTCCTCTTTTTCGAATGCCATTACAGATCATACTCAAGGTCACATTTAAGGTCACCAATGGATTCCCGGTAAAAAGTTGCTTCAAGTATAACCTTGATCATTTTGGAAAATTACTTTGTCTGGACAATTTTTTGAGTATTTTGTTACTTTTTGAAGACCCTGTATAATAAAAGTTATGAATTTGTATTCACTTTTTGAATAGAACGTCTTGAACATTCTGAAACGTAGCTGCGTTCCATTTCGTTTCCTTATTCTTAAAGGAAAGTGGGCATGTACCCTACTAAAACAAGGACAGTCAACCGGATTGAAAATCCAATCCGCTTCGAGTCTATTTCTGAATCCTACAAATGACAATTTAAATTTATCAAACTGGAATCGATCTGAATCCCCTTTAATATTTTTCTATCCTGAAATTAATTATTATAATATGTAAAATTAATTTCAGGATAAAAAAACATTAAAGTCAATTAAGATTCATTCTACTTAATGAATTTCAATTGTCATTTGTAGGATTCAGAAATAGATTCAAAGCGGATTGGATTTTCAATCCGGTTGAATGTCCTTGTTTTAGCAGGGTAGGAACATATGCATTTCGATTGGGTTTACGGATACAGAGTGGAACGTAGCCCATGGTAACTTTCACTTCAAACTTACAATTAAATTTAATCGTTCACATGGAAACATCTGTTCTTATCTATTGAAAATTAGAATGTTTTTTATTTTCTGCTCAAATACTGTGAAATAGTTGTTATGACATTATTTTAGTGAAAAAATTTAATCTTATATTTTATTATTAAAATGAATTGTATACAATTTTTTATTGTCAGAATTGTAATAGTATATTTTTCAGTAAATAACACAGGCCGACAGAATTTGACAAAAATATTTTACCAAGAACCCGAGTATAGTTTTCCGAAGGTTTTTTGCGCGCTGAATCCGAATCCGAGGTCAGAATTACTCTGGTGGCTCTGGTTTTCGAGATATCCTAACTTTAAAGTGCAAAAAACGCGATTTTTGCCTATATTTGAGGTTATGTAGCAAAGAAAAGAAATTTTTTTTCAAAAAACTGTATACATCAAATTAAAGTATGAGTTTTCTTCTTTCAAATGCCGTTGAGTATGCTCGGATATCTTTTTTTTTCACGAAGTTACACAAATTTGAAAATTTCAAATTTTATGAATTTAAAAAGCACCACATCATTCAGCCCAAGCTATCTAACAAGTAACCATATTAAAGAGCCACTCACCAATTTAAACCAAACTTGGAAATATGACAAAACACTAAAAAATATTGTGAGCATCGTGCTTCTATTTACAAAATGCTCTCTTACGGGTAGAAACCACCCCTGCCAACCCCTAAACAGGCTCACCCACATAACCCTGGGTAGAGCAAGTTTAATTAACTGCTTTTTGATAAAAAAACTCATTTTCTAATCACGGGTATGCGTACTAATATGATCTAGATAGGCCTCATCCCCAAATACCTCCTCAACCCTTTAAAACCAGCCCTCCCAACCCCTAAGCAGGCACACCCACATGACGCTGGGTAGAGCAAGTTAGCCAAGTGCTTTTTATTTCAAATTTGTGTAACTTCGTGAAAAAAAAAGATATCCGAGCATACTCAACGGCATTTGAAAGAAGAAAACTCATACTTTAATTTGATGTATACAGTTTTTTGAAAAAAAATTTCTTTTCTTTGCTACATAACCTCAAATATAGGCAAAAATCGCGTTTTTTGCACTTTAAGGTTAGGATATCTCGAAAACCGGAGCCACCAGAGTAATTCTGACCTCGGATTCGGATTCAGCGCGCAAAAAACCTTCGGAAAACTATACTCGGGTTCTTGGTAAAATTTTTTGTCGGCCTGTGTAATGTTTATGAAATCATACCATAAACGTTATCAGAATTGTTCTTATAATCTTTGATTTATTATAAATCTAATATTATTAAGCTAGAAAATATGATTTAAATTGTATAACATTTGTTGAGAAATGAAAATATTAATCTATTCTTTTAGTATTTTCAATATATTGAGCAATTAATAACCAAATATTCTTGGATCCAATTACAGCTCTACTATTTCATGATTATTGCTCAAAGGTTCCGCCTTCAGGAACTGATGCTCCAGATAAGGAAAATATGAATGTTATGGTTAAGTCAACCAATCAGGAGACACCATCAAGAAAGTGTAAGCGCAAAAGTTTATAATATTATTCATATAGATTAAGAACTTATTTCCAAACATTTAAAATAAATATTGATTTATACGGTGTTAGTAAGTTTTAATAAAAAAATCTCTCTATAATAAGTGAAATAGGTTTTAAAGCATGAAAATTTCTAAAAAAATAGAATATCAATTAAACTTGCAAACATGAACAGCGTATTCTTTCCATGGGCAGACTTGTTCTTGACTTAATTGGTTAAACCATTAATTAATATTATCAAGAAAACTAGATGAGTTACTTATACTTCTTTACACAAGGGTTACAAATATTTTCGTATACAATACGAGTTCTGAGCTGATTTGTAACTCATTTTTGTATTTCTTGAAAATCGATATCATTTCTTCTTTCTTTATTAGAATTAAAGATCTTTTTTAATAATTTTCTTAGGGATAAATCAAGGTACGTTAGCGAGGATCTCGAGGGTCTCAAATTGGAATCGATACTAGTCTGAAAATTGATCGGTACACAAGAAGTTTATTTTCAAGAATAAGTTGAGATTTTCTCGAATCAATTAATACATTTTTCCAAGTTTAAGATTTAGCTGTTTTTGTTGTCCTAATAATCCCTTTAATTTAGAATACGATGCATTCCTCGATATTCTGATTGGTTACTTTGAGCAATATTTTTACCGTCCATAAAGAGACCAGCGGAATGGTTTTTTTAAATGTGATCGTTACGTTATTACATTTGTTCTCTCTCATTCGCTCTTATTTTTCAGTTTTTAGCCAAATTTGAATCTTAACCCATTAAGGCCCAAATGTCCTAAATTTTCAACGAATCTTCATGCAGTTATTTTTCATATTATCTGCACCAAAAAAAATTTCCAACACATCATATCCGACGTAAAATTTGATGTTCTTTCAGAATATGGCTTCAGAATTTGTCTAAAGTTACTGCTAAAAAAGTTATAATTAAATATTGGTAAAAGAAAGCGATTTTTTTAACTTAAAAAAATTTTTTATTCAAAATTTTTTTAAGGAATTGATAAAGATGCACATCTTTTTACAGCTAGAAACGTGTCCTCGAGTCCTAAATTTTAAGACATTTGGGGTACAAAATCGAAAATCCAACATGGCGGTTCTCAAAATGGCGTCCGAAGTGATAATTTTTTTGAAAAATTTCAGGATGCTATAACTTGAAAACTATGAGCTTTTCTGAAAAAATGCTTAGAATGAAAAGTTCTTAGAATTCATCAAGAAATACACTGGAATTTATTCAGATTTTTTTTCATGAAATTTTGAAAATTTTTTTTTTTGGATTTTTGAAAATTTTGAAAAATTTATAAAAAATTCTGGAAAAAGTCCAGTGTATTTTTTGATGAATTCTAAGTATTTTTTGTTCTTTCTAATTTTTTCCAAAAGTTGATAGTTTTTGAGAAAAAAATTTCAAACGTTTTGCATGCTGTATTCCGTAAATCCAAATACAGAAATATGAAAGCATATATCATTGATTAGGAAAAATGAGGCGTTTTGTAAATTCCGTTAGCCGTTGATAAATTTCAACGTTGCCCAATCCTAACATCGTGGAGGTGGAATCACAAGGATCTTTTGTTTTGTTTTTTTTTTTCATTTTTTTGTTTTTTTGTTTTTTTCTTGTGTTTTATTTCTTTTGTGTTTTTTTTAGTCCTTTCAGGTTTTTTCGATATTATTTTGTTTTCTCCCGTCATTACTTTCTCATTTGCTTTTTCTTTTCATATGATAATGCTAACATAAGTTTTGCCTTTCCGCGAATTCTTCACCATAGTTTTCGAATGACTAATCGCTTCTTATGTTTTGCTGTAAAACAAGATAAGCATTGGTAAGTATTACATTCAGTACATTTTTTTGTGGTCCTTTTACCACAACTTTTACTATTGGTACAGTATTTTTTTCCCGGGGCTGTTTCATATCTATGTCTTTCCAAATTGTAACTTGATTTTGCTAAGTAGCTTTCAGCAACAGCCAGTGCTGTGTCTTTCGTTCCTATTTTTTTGTCATGAGTTACCAAATTCTTCAGAACAGTAGCATTCGTTATCGAAGATTGAATGAGTCTCATAAAAATAACCCACGTCCATTTTTTAGATCGTATAGGACTTCTCAAATTACTACAATACGAGTCGTGAAGATCAACACCGCCCATATATTGATTGTAGAATGTGAAAGCTCTTGGAAATTCTAAGGTTTCTTTCTTTTTTTGTTCTTTAGAATATCTTCTCACCGTTCCGAAAGGCCTTACACTAGCACAAGTTGAAAGAACCGAAACGGGCTTCGAGTCCATAACGGTTATATAATTCAAACCACTGTTTTTATCATATTTTGAAACGAACGTTACTCTCTTGGATTTTTTATCAATTTCATTCGTAGTTTTTATTCGGTTTGATCTCACATTCCTGTAGCTCGTAATCCTATATTTTTTAAATGTACCAATAAATCTGGACCAGTAAAGAAATTATCAAATGTAAGATGATATTGATACAATTTTCTTGGAGTGACTGTCAGAAGTAAGTTTTGAACCATTTGAAGAACTACTCGGCTACCTAAAGCGCATTTACTAAGTTTTGGGTTCGTCTCTGAAGCATAAATATTCGTCCCTTTTCCGCAATAAATATCGCAGTCTAAGAGAAACCCATTGACCGTACATAAAGCCCACATTTTTATCCTAAAACGATCAGGTTTATTTTGTATGTACTGCTTCAAGACCGTTCGACCATAGAACTTAATCATCATCTCATCAACGGATAGAGCTGTTGAAAAGTAACCAAAGCATTTTATATTCTTTCTAAAAATCTCTAATGGCTTTCGGACACGCCAAGCTCTGTCATTTGAGTTACCATCGCTATCTTTAGACATTTTAATTTTTTCTTTGATAGTGGAATATTTATTTCTTGACATAGCAGCAGCTATAGGTTCACAACGTAAAAGTGACAGTCTGGACCAATAATCCTTTTGGGATTTTCTGCCATTGAACATAGATGTAATTAATATCCCAACAAAAACATCTAGCTCTTCAATCGTAAGATCATATCCATTTTCACGAGTAGCATCAACAATAACTTCCTTCAATTTCCCCTTATAAAAAAGTGATGGAAGCCATGTTGTAGCCTTTTTATTCGCGATCTGATTGGTTGAAACTGTTGTCATCTGTTAGTGAGTGAGAGAGCCAGAGAGAGAGAGAGAGAGAGAGAGAGAGAGAGAGAGAGATAGAAAAAGACGAAAAGTGACACTTCAGATTTGAGTTCAACAAGGTTGTACGACTAATGACACGAGGGATAGGTAAGTTGATTAATCCATTATTAATCTATCGTGATTAATTGAACGGAGCTTATTTTTATTTAAATATTGTATTTAGAAATCTAGAACAGTAATTAATCTATAATATTTTTGCATAATTTTTATAATAAAGAAAAAAAATATTCCATGGAATGCTTTGCCGAACTAAAGGTTAGGTGTTGTGTGCATTTAAGTGCATACATAATTGCTTTTAATATTCGTATCAACGTAATTTGAAAATCATTAGAAATTTACACGATGATCAGTGACGAAAGAAAGAAAAACACGCACAACTTTTTTTATCTTGTAATATGTCATCTGTTTTTTATATCGGCAGCTTTTTTTGAAATAACGGCAGCATTCAATTCAACATGCAGGACAACGACGCTTCAATTTCATACACAACAGACGATGAGTTTTTAGAAATATCCAACAATGACAAGAGCGTGTGAGTTCTTTTTTTATTTTATTTCGCGACATTTTCAACTTTTGACTTTTCTTTATTAGCGTTAAAAGTTTTAAATAGCACGCTCAGTGATTATTTACAGAGTAATTTTATGCTCTGATTTTTTTTTATAACCTTCAGTAGTTTGTTTGATCTTAAAAACAAAATCAATTGCATCAATTTTATGTTCTCATTTTGTTTTTTTTAAATCTTCAGTAGTTTGTTTTATCCTAAATATAATAATAATTATTAATGGTATTGAAAAAATATTTTTATCACCTGAAAAACATACTATATATGATTATAGTACATACTATATGATGTATAATGAAATATATACTCTATAGTGTATTATTCTGCGTAACTCTCTTAATAAATTGGTTTTAGTGAAGTGGTTGGCTATGTGGAGTCTATAGTTGCTCCAACTGATGTGGGTAGTGGACATAAGAAGTTCAAATTATTCAAGGTAAACTTAAGCAACGGCACTAGAAAAATTACTCTACTTTTTTGGGGTCAAGAGGTGATTGATAAATACCAATCTGAAATTGATTTGAATCGTGTAAGTGTAAAAAAAAATGAAAATATCAAACTGTTAAAAGTATGAATGGAACTATATTTTTCAATTTCAGATCCTACATGTTGAACGAGCTACCTCCAAGGCTGTGAATCCTAATTATCACAAGGACGATTCATTTGTCCCCTTCGAACTCATTGTTGGAAACGCAACTAGCATTGAATTCCATGGGTACCATGGTCAACGAAATGGTGAAGCAGCAAAGGTGCCTCCAAAAAAATTGGATTTTGTGGGTACGGTTGGTTATACAGGACCGATAAGTATGTATTAAATATTCAAATACTTTTAATTAATTTTCTTTTTATAATCATGCAACTAAATTTTATGTCTGTTATTTCTATTTTTAGTGATTGAAGGATATTTGAAAACCGAATTTGCTTTGGTAACGAACGTCAAAAAAACATCAAGTTGGGGAATCGGAGCCATCACTGATGGTATGTTTAAAATAAACATACAAATTACGCAATTTGAGAAGTCAACAATTAAGACAGGGACCATAATATCTGTTAGTGGTTTCATAAAAGACATTGGTAAGTATATAATCTTTTATTATTTATCTTATTATCTACAGAATATTTTACTAATATATTCGATTTTATTTAGAACCACCCATTACAATCCATTGCATGAGCATGGTAGATATCTCTGTCCTTCTTGGTGAAAAACCAATGACATCAGAACAGGTGCGTAAAGGTGTAAAATCTCCTCGCCGTCCATTCGCCCTTTCGCAAGAGGATAATATAGATAACTTGCACAATTCAATTAGGAAATCTGCTAAAATGGATTTCGAGATCACCGCTGACCGCACAAAAAAGGATAATTAATGAAGTTCAGATTTATTTTTTTTTTTTAATTATTTATTTATTTTTTTTTTACTATTTCTTTCTTTCTTTCAACGTTTTAAAAGTTCTTTTTTTTTAAGATGAAACGTTCTAATATATATTAGAATATATTTTGCTTCTTAAAGTTGAGCAGTATTAACTTCGTTATGCTATTAATCAGTTCCAAATAAAAATATGTGATGTTAATTGTAGTTGAAAAGATTGATATTATTATTATTGGAAAAAGATTATTTATAAATTTTTTTTTTAATTTAAGAAAACACCAGATTTAAGCTCAACGTATAATATAATGTTTTTTTCTAAACAGTTGTCAAATAATTTATAAATTTGATAGTTCATTATCTATGTAATTTACTATTTTTAAAATCAAACGATTTAAGATTTCAAAATGTGATTTAAATGATGCTGCAACCAATGAGCAAATGTTAATTTAATTTTGACATGTTAAGTATAGTTTATGTTAAAAATAGTATGTGCAAGGATTTAATACTAAGGTGTAATAACTAGAATTTAAAACTTCATTATATGTATCTCATAACTCATGAATAAAAATCTCACCTTCTCCTTCTTTTTTGTTTTAATAAAAAATGAATAACAGAAAATATTGAAAATATTTTTCTAATAAAAAAATATTACGGCTGACATTTCTATTCCAAAGTTATACTCAAACTTATTGTTTTTTTTAACAATAATTTTCCATTATTTCATCGAAATTCTTACGGTGAATTCTTTTTTTTATCGTAACAAGAAAATCTATTAATAAATAGGATACGCAAATTAATTTATTCTAATGATCATCAGTTATAACATTTGTGCAGGCGTATAGTGATCTATATGAGCCAACCTATATTGTATATAATATCAACGAATATAGACGCATTCATCGATAATATAGACTATATATAGTAAGGCTGATGGCGGTAATCAACCACGCTATTTTACATTGATAAAACGTTGTTAATTACGTACATTATTAAAATATTGATCCTAGCTTAAATAAAAAAAGAAGAAATACAATTCTTCAATAGCTGTAGCTTACAGTGAGTATGACTTGGTTTTACTGAATAGCATGAATAACCTGCTTAACAAACTATATATAATTTTATATTGAAAAAATAGTCTAACCTGCTTTGTAATAACTAAATCAATCAATCAATATTCAACAATAAATTTAAATTGAAAATAATATATTAAAATCATAATTCACGATGTAAATAATTATTTTTTGCGTTATCTAAACATTAAGGGAATGACATAATAAAATTCACACCTCAGTAGTTTCCGTTATACGCGAATAATTTATAGTTTACAATAAATATCGCAGTCATCCGCACTTCTTTAAATCATGCCAAAACGCGGATCGTCTTTATTCTTGTTAAAAACTGAATAATAAACACGCATAACGAAAACTACGATATCGTGTTGGCGAAGTATCTCTACGCTGCATGATGTTGTAATTGTCAACATTCATTCAATACTCATTTTTTAATAATAAATTACTGAGGTCATCGACCTTGAGGAATAATAAAAAACTGTAAATAAACTGTAATAATAAAAAAGAATAATAAAAAACTGTTACATTCTATGAAAAGTCAATATTCTTCGAGTATATATAATTAGAACGTATATGGTTTATGATTTTTATGAATTTATAGGTTTGGTTACGTTATGGCATCCCCTTAATTTAGTTATCAATCAATCAAATTGATCAAAAACCAATTATATGTATTAGTCCTCCTATTATTTGTAGAAATACTGATATGTAATATTTGTTATATTTCAATCGTTAATTTCTTCATTTTTTACTGAAATGTATGTGTACAGGTACAACTTATTTTTTGTTTATGTTGTTACTGCAAAATGTCAGTGCATTTATAATTTACAGGGTTCCACTATTAAACAAGTGCTATATTAGAGATACACTGGATGATAAAATTTCAAAGCTGTCCAGTTATTTGTATTTGGATTGAGTCGATCATTGTGTAAATTGATACTCTCCTTCGAAGGTATACTTTTTACTACTTACTGCATGCTTTATATTTTTTATCTATTGACATGCTTTAGCAATTGCTTATAAATAATGTTGACAGTTAACGTTTTCCAAAAATATATGATATGATGATTATGTCCTCATTTGACATAATAAACTTTTAAATCTAATAATAATCTAATCATATAATCTAATCATATTTTCAAATTTCTCTGATTCTATATACATTTTTTAATATTCCATGTTCATTTTTTTCCAGGTTGCCGTGGTATCATCGCTGTTGAATTGATTTTACATAGATATTGAAAACGTATAAAATTCAGCATTAAAACTTTGCTCGTGACTATTGCCATCAACATATACATAACCAAACCAAACGAAATATTTTAAACCAAACCGAATCTGTGAAACCAAACCAAACCGAAACTTTGAAACCAAACCAAATCTTTGTCTTTGCTAAAAATTCAATCTAGCATAAATTCACAAAAAATTACACAATTGAAAAAATCAAATTCAGTAATTATTTACAAATTTAACGTTTTAAATACAGTATTGTATATATTTATGTAAAAAACATTAAAGTATTAATAACGTTCATTGTATACACTCAGCCCAGCATTTTATTTTTTTTTCGTTATCTTTACGCATGAGCATAATATGAACTTTTTATATACATGAAAATAAGATATATAGATACAACTTTATTTGTATTTGGAACCATGTATTAGACAGTTGTTCTGTACTATACAAAATTTTGTGTTGCTTTTTTCAAAAATAAATAACTTGAAAGTAATTAATAGGTCAAAAAAATTTTTTATTTATCACGTCTCAATTCTCAATTAATAAGTTATTTATTAGTATAATTATTTATTTCATATAATCATATTTCATATAATCATACAAGTAATTCTTTTTTGTTTTTTTTTTTTTATTGAAACAAAAAATGGGTAGAAGAGGAATAATACGTACTCCAGAAGAGGAACAAAATTATCAAATTCAAAAGCGTTTAAGACGTTCTGAAAATGCGAGAAATAGACGTAACGCTACAAATCATCATAATGATCTAAATAATGAACAAGTTGTATGTAGTGACAATGGTGTAAATAATCAGCAAGTAAATGCTGTAGTGGAAGATTATTTAGGACAAATGGATATACTATTATTATGTGCACATTGCAATGCAAAACATTTTGCATCAGAGAAGGTTGCAAATAAAGGTTTTTCTTTTAATGATTGTTGTTCCCATGGGGCTGTAGCTTTAGAAAGTACACCAGATTTTCCTCCACAACTGTCCACTTTATTTGATGGTAGTCATTATAAATCAAATAATTTTTTTGAACATATTCGTTTTTATAATAATTCACTTTTATTCGCCTCTTTTAATGCTAATTTAGTTAATTTTCAATCACGCCGCCCTGGACCATATTGTTTCAAAATTCATGGTCAGATATACTATCAAATTAATACAGTTTTGTATCTTTGTGAAAATGAAAATCCTGCATATGGACAATTGTTTTTTGTTGATCAAGAAGAGGCCCTTAATGTTAGAAAAACTCAAAATCCTCATCTTGATCAAGAAACACTTTCAATGTTAGATAAAGTAATAAGAGAGAATAATATTTTTGCACAGTCTTATGAGATGATGAAACAAGAAATAAATAATCAGAGGTTAGAGATGAATGAGGCACATGAACCTGAATTACAGTTATTATTTTCGTTGAAACCAGGTTTTGATAGACGGAGATTTAATTTTCAGCGAACAAATGAAGTTGCTGCTATTTTTTCGACAACAGCTGATGGTGAAATTCCAGAGTCTTATGTAATTATTCGAAACAAAAATACAAAAGTGTTACAATACGTTAGTACGATGGATCCTAACGTTGAACCATGGCTTTATCCATTATTTTACCCTTATGGATCACGAGGATGGCATAAAAATTTAGAACGTATTAAGATGAATGATAATGATCCAAGTCGTCGAGTAACACGAATGGCTTACACTAAATTTAAAATGGCCGTTAGGCCAGATGAATTTAACGCTATTTTGTTAGGTCGTCGATTATTTCAACAGTGGGTAGTAGATGCTTATGTTAAAATTGAAAAAGACAGAATTCAGTGGTGCAAAGATAATCAAAGACAGATAAAGTCAGATACGTATAAAGGACTACACGATTATTTGCAGAATTCTGCTAATGACATTGATGGTTAAGTCGGAAAAACTATCATTTTACCTTCGACTTTTATAGGATCTCCTCGCCACATGCAACAAAATTACCAAGATGCAATGGCTATAGTCGGTAAAACGGGTAAACCGGACATTTTTCTTACAATGACTTGCAATCCTAGATGGAAAGAGATACAAGAAAATCTTTTACCAATTCAGTAGGCATCTGATAGACCTGATATTGTAGCTCGCGTATTTCATTTGAAAAAAAATCGTTTGCTTGATGTAATCATAAAGGATAGATTTTTTGGAGAAGTAGCATCCTATGTCTATGTTGTTGAATTTCAAAAGCGTGGACTACCACATATGCATTTATTGTTAACTTTAAAACATTCTTATAAAATAACCACACCTGAAATTATTAACAAATTTATATCAGCTGAACTTCCCGATAAAGAACGTGATCCTATTTTATATAGCATCGTTGTAAAAAACATGAGTCATGGACCTTGTGGTGACTGGTGTATTACAGATAACAAGTGTTCAAAGAAATTTCCAAAAGATTTTCAAAATGAAACAACAATTGCGACGGGGGAGAGGGAGGGGAAAAATAAAAGACGGTATTTCTCCTGATCTCGCGCTGTCGCCAGCGGCGCGCAGTCAGCCGAGACGACGTGTGCAGCTTTATTTTATTGAGTTGGGCGCCAGCTACCGTGCTCTCGCGTTAGGAGAACGTGGTAGCGCTGCAACGTCGGCTGGTTCTCGGCTCGGTGGTCCTGCTGGTCGCTGTGAGGTCGGGTGGTTTCCCCGTCGCCTCCCTCCTTGTCGCCGTCGGTGTTCTTGCGCGCGTGGCCGACTATCACCTGTGGAGGATGAAGCAGGGGCGCGAAGTCCTAGGCGACGATTCGGTCAAGTCTAAAGCGGAAAGACGTATCGAGCGAAAGGGGAAAGGGGGGCAACGGGTGGTTTCCAAGGCCACCCACGGCTGCGGCTCGTTCGGCTAGCTAGATGTTTCGGGGCATGGCGGCTCTCAATCCCAGAAGCGGGTACATCGAGGGGGGCGTCGCAGGGGCGCTCCGGTTGGCGGCTAGTGGTTCGGGGGATGATGACTCCTTCCCTGGACTGGTGGCGTAGTGGCTGCGACGGTGGCTATCGGTTGAGCGGTGATCAGGGCAGTCGGGAGTTCGCGCACGCGTTTACCGATCTCAAACCGGTCGCGAAAGCTACGGGGGATGGGGCGATCAAGTGGGTGTAGTCAATAATAAGTCGGATATAAAGAAAATTCGGATTTATTATGCAAAAGAAACCCAGGTCTACCCCAGTGGTCTACCCCTAGCGATGGTCAGCCTGGTCTAGATTACTGGGGGAACGCGGGTGGCGTACTACGGCGCGAAGTCAGCTTAGACGGACAATAACTCGGTTGAATGTTTCGGGCTTCGGCTATGATTCGAATACGTAACGTCGGTTTATCTATTCGCGGCGAAAATTCCAGCTCGTTCAAAACAATTGCGCTCAGGAATTCGGTCGGTCGCGCGAAGGTTGACTACCATTCGCGGTGTTGACGTTACGTATAGCGATGCTTGCGAACAAAATAAAGGCGACGATGTACCTGAGTTTTGCCGGTCGGATGAAGGTCTAACGCGACTCGTGTGATGTTTGGATCGACTCGGAAAGGAATTTCAAGGGCGCACACTCAGAAAACTCGTTGCACGGTTGATAGCAACACGGCGACTCGAAACTATTCCCGAAAGGTCGGTGGCAAAACCATATAAAGCAACGGTGACGGGCGCGCGAAGGTCATGCGGGGTTCCGCGCGCGAACATTCGGCGGTCAGGCGACTATTTCAGGTGCGGGACAAAGAACGACGTGACAAAAAAAAACTTGGGGATAACGGCAAACGTTTTCGGTCAAGGCGTAATGCGCGCGGAGGTCATGCGGCACTCCCGAAAACGCGGCGGTCGGCAATGCGCGACAAACTCGCGGTTATCATTCATGCAAAGAAATCGGCAGTAAAAGGGTACTTACTCCTGGTAGATTTTGGCCGATTAATGCTCTGTTTGTTATCGTTATTCCGCTATTTTATCCTGTTATCGTTATTATCGTTATTTTATCCTGTTATCGTTATTATCGTTATTATCTATTATCGTTCTTCTGTTATGCCTATTTCTCTCAATATCTTTTGTACTATTTTCACTTTCACTATCTCTTGCCTACCTCCTTCACTATTTCTTTCGTATTCACTCTCGCTTTTCTTTCCCCTCTTTTTTTTTGTTTCCACTTTTCACTTCTACTTTCTTTTCTAATTCTCACTCCTGCTTCTTTCTAATTCTCACTTCTGTTTCTTTTCTAATTCTCACTTCTGCCTCTATTCTAATTCTCACTTCCGCTTCTATTCTAATTCTCACTTCTGCTTCTATTCTAATTTCTGCGTACCGCGCAACGGCGAGGCTCGGCGGACTTCCTACCGTCGAGGCTTAACGGTTACTGGCGCGCCGTTTTTCGGCGACGCACCGCTTCTCCTAGTTTACTTCCCCTTCGTTGTTGCCGATTGGCTAGCTTGTTGCTAAGCCAGGTCTCAGCGCCGTCTATATTAACGTTTTTTACCCGCGCAATTTATTTATTGGTCGGTCCTTCGCGCCTAATTTGCCTACTGGCCGCGAAGATAGCGTCGGTTTTCCCTCATTAGTTCGACCACCCCTAAGCTGATAACGATTGGTCAGTCAACTAGCGTCGCTTGTCTATCTTCTTCTATCTACCGCTCGTTGGTCTTACCGATTCCCCTCGCTCGCTTCCGATCGGTCTAGCATCGGCGGTCTCGCTCGCTCTCACGCGCTCGGTCGCTCCTACCTTTAGTCTAGCTAGGCCTGCCTTAACTAACGGGGGCTTGCGATCAGCTGATCGCGACTGAAAACTTTAGGGGCTTCTAGCTCCCCGGGGGAGGGTCGGATCGGGTCGTGAGTGCGCGAGGGGTTGTACGCGAGCGTAAGGGTCGTGCGAATCGGTCAGGGAGGTTTCTAGAGGTCGTAGTTCGCGAGGTCCGGGAGTGCGTGGGCGGGTGTATGTAGTCGTGGCTGTTCTGTCATAGTGCCGGTAATATATATTTGTGTGTGATAACGCATCATCACATATGGCGCCCAACGTGGGGTCAGGATAAAGTCAGATACGTATAAAGGACTACACGATTATTTGCAGAATTCTGCTAATGACATTGATGGTTAAGTCGGAAAAACTATCATTTTACCTTCGACTTTTATAGGATCTCCTCGCCACATGCAACAAAATTACCAAGATGCAATGGCTATAGTCGGTAAAACGGGTAAACCGGACATTTTTCTTACAATGACTTGCAATCCTAGATGGAAAGAGATACAAGAAAATCTTTTACCAATTCAGTAGGCATCTGATAGACCTGATATTGTAGCTCGCGTATTTCATTTGAAAAAAAATCGTTTGCTTGATGTAATCATAAAGGATAGATTTTTTGGAGAAGTAGCATCCTATGTCTATGTTGTTGAATTTCAAAAGCGTGGACTACCACATATGCATTTATTGTTAACTTTAAAACATTCTTATAAAATAACCACACCTGAAATTATTAACAAATTTATATCAGCTGAACTTCCCGATAAAGAACGTGATCCTATTTTATATAGCATCGTTGTAAAAAACATGAGTCATGGACCTTGTGGTGACTGGTGTATTACAGATAACAAGTGTTCAAAGAAATTTCCAAAAGATTTTCAAAATGAAACAACAATGGATGAAAACGGATATCCTCATTACCAAAGGAAAAATGACGGTGTTACTCATGAACTACCTAATGGTCACGTGATTGATAATCGATGGATTGTACCGCATTGCCGTGATTTATTAAAGATGTTTAACTGTCATATAAATGTGGAAATTGTTTCAAGTATTCGAGCTGTCAAGTATTTATATAAATATATTTATAAAGGTCATGACGCAGCTACTGTAACTATTAGAACTGAAAATTCATCTAAAATTATCAACCATGATGAGGTTTCTAATTTTATAGAAACTCGATATGTTGGACCCGTTGAAGCATGTTATCGAATTTTGAGTAAATCATTACAAGGTAAAAGTCACATTGTAGAAAGATTACCAGTTCATTTACCAAATCAACAGAGTGTTATAATTTTTAATGAAGACAACTTTGTAGAAAATCTGAATCAAGCAAGTAGTAAGTTACTTGATTTTTTCCAATTAAACATTGAAAATGAAAATGCACGCCAGTACTTCTATAGCGATGTTCCATCTTTTTTTACTCATAAAAAAATAAAAATTAATGGGATCATGACATCTAAATGGGTTCCACGTAAAAAACAGTTTAACTGTATTGGACGAATGTTTTCTGTCAGTCCTACACAAGTAGAGCTCTTTCACTTGCGATTATCATTGTTGCACGTAAAAGGAGCTACAAGCTTTGATTCATTAAAAATAGTTAATGGCATAGTCCAACCTATATTTACAGCAGCGTGCTTAGAACTGGGCTTAATAGAAGATGATCATGAATGGGCTAAAGCAATGGAAGAAGCAACAATGTGGATGATGCCACGTCGACTTAGACAATTATTTACTAGAATTTTAATACACTGCCAACCGATACACCCTGAAGAATTGTGGGATAAATTCAAAGATGTATTATCTGAGGATTTTGCACGGACAAATAATAGTGTTTTGAGTCATCAAATGAGTCAACGCTGAGATAAATAATTTACTAAATTATGAAGGTAAAAGTTTGTCTGATTTTCCTTCCTTGGATCAAACAGTGACTACACATGTATTGACAGAAAACGATAATGAATTATCACAAACAGAATTTGGAGATATCGGTAAAAAACAATATGAGCTATTGAATAAACAGCAAAAAAAAATTGTTGATATTGTTTTGGATAAAGCTATTGATACTAATAATCACGATACTAATTGTATATATATCAATGGCCCAGGAGGATCCGGAAAAACTTTTATTTATACTACTATTTACAATTTATTATGCTCACAAAATATTAAAGTATCTTCAATGGCTTTCACTGGTATTGCAGCAACATTACTTCCAAAAGGAAAAACAGTACACAAAACATTTGGTCTTCCTGTTCCAATGTTTAGCGATTCATCATCAAACATAACAGCACAATCTAAGGAAGGTCTTCTACTCATGGAAACAAAAGTTTTTATTTGGGACGAAGCATCTATGACTC